TTATTTGACAGAAAGAGACACAGCGAGAGAGGTAACACAAGAAGGGGGAGTGGGAGAGGGAGAAGCAGGCTTCCCACTGAGCAGGGAGCCCGATGTGGGGCTCGATCCCAGGACTCTGGGATCATGACCTGAGCTGAAGGCAGCCGCTTAATGACTGAGCCACCCAGGCGCCCCTGTTCTTGAACTTTATAAAAGGCATCCACATGGTACTTTCTATCTGCTCTCTGGTTTCTTTCACTCATCATTAGTTCTGTGAGATTCCTCCACGCTGCTGCGTGTATCCGCAGTCGGCTCCTTTTTATTGCCAAGGAGTGTTTTGTTGTACGACTCTTACCACAGTTTATCTACTGTCCTGTCACTGAACAGTTGCAGTTTCCAATTTGGGGCTGCTGTTTCCATTCTTGAATAAATATGAATACATTACATGTAATCTAGTTGACATTTTATTGTACCAGGTACATGGAAATTGATTTTGTGATTCCCCTTGTAAAAAAAAATGCTCTCTATTGTTATTGAATATTATGACTGTATCATTATGACATGAACCTGCTTAGTGTCCTGCACAATGCAAACCTCCCCCCACCCCCAACACACACACTTATAGAACAGAACCATTTATCTACACAGAACCCTGAAGCAAGGGCTTATTGTTGCTATTCCTGTTTCACACATGAGGACATCATTCTGGGGTGTCAGGTGACTTGCCTAAGGTCCTGCAGTTTAGAAGGGGCAGAACCCTCACTTGCCGGGCCTAGGAAATCCCAAGATGTGTCAGATGAGGCCTCAGCCCTCCCCCAACTGGTGTCGGGCAGGAAATGCACAGGAGAGCTGTGTGAGGCCATTACTGGGTACCTAACGAAGAGTCTGTGCCAAGTGTGAGTTGCAGAGTCACTGTAGGCATGGCGAAAGCTTCCAGAGCTGGGGGTAAAGTCATGGGTAGAGAGCAGGGCCGACGGGCGCTGAAATATCAGCACTCCCTGGATTGCCTCTCCCCAGCCTGAGAAGAAAACTGCCCTAGTGAACAAGCGAGGACAGGCTGGGTGAGGATGCCATGAGAGCAGGTTGTTGGAGGCTGAGGGAGGCTACAGGAGAGGGAGCAGGAAGGCAGACTAGGGGCCTTCCACCAGCACCTGCTGGCAACCCTGATTGCAGCAGATCCTAACTTTCAGGGAAGGGATAAGAGCCAGTATTTCACACAGTACAATAGGAGACAGAGGAAACATTAAGTCTCCTTCCCGTTCTTGACCTCCAAAGCAACTGACCTCCCCAGAAGCAACCATTTGTTCCAGGGTCTTCAGTATCTTTCTGGAGACATTCATGCCCCATGTGCTGCCATCCTCTATGTCCTCTATTGCTCGTTTTCCTCGCATCAGTGTCATTAGGCAATCAGTCTGTATCTGCACAGAGTCATGATGGGGAACTCAAATTCGACAGGCTGTGGGCCTGCCCTTCACCACCTCTCTGTCCTCATTTCTCCCCACTCTCTCCCTTTCTCCTGGTTCATGTTGCTCCAGCCACAGAGGCCTCCTTGCGAGTCCTTGAACACATCTAACATACTCCTGCCCCAGGGCCTTTGCACTAGCAGTGGCTTTTCTCTTTGTGTGGAGTGCTAGGACTCTAGTTATCTCCGTGGCTTATTCCTTTACATCTTTACTCAATGTTCCCTTCTCAGTGAGGCCTCCCTGACCCCTTCCTCCAATTATAAACCCTAGACTGTCCTATACCCCTTAGATGCCTTACTCGGTGCCAGAGCACCCACCTAGGTGCAAGCTCCCGAGGACAGTGACTTGGTTTTGTTCCCTGCTGAACCCTTAGCCTCTGTAGTAGCATATAGTGGACCCTAAAGATCCATGAGTAGAATTAACACTTGGATGATAATAGTGCTGCCTCAATTTTTTTTTCTTCCAGCTTCATTGAGATATAATCGACAAGTAACATTGCGTAAATTTAAGGTATACAACATAATGATTTGATATACATATATATTGTGAAATGATCACCACAATAAGGTTAGTTAGCACATCTGTTGCCTCACATAGTTACCTTCTTTTTTTTTTGATAGTTTAATGTTCTTTTCTTTTTTTTAAAGATTTTATTTATTTATTTGACAGAGAGACACAGCAAGAGAGGGAACACAAGCAGGGGGAGTGGGAGAGGGAGAAGCAGACTTCCCGCGGAGCAGGGAGCCCGATGTGGGGCTCGATTCCAGGACCCCGGGATCATGACCTGAGCCGAAGGCAGGCGCTTAACAACTGAGCCACCCAGGTGCCCCTCTCTCTACTTTTTGAATGAGGAACCAAAGCCTCGAGAGTTTGAGTAACTTGCCTGGGAATTAGCAGGAGGGTAGCAGCAAGAACGCCTTCAGCCCTTTTCTTTTCTTTTTTTTTTTTAAGATTTTATTTATTTATTTGAGAGAGAGAATGAGAGAGAGAGAGAGCAGGAGAGGGGGGAAGGTCAGAGGGAGAAGCAGACTCCCCACTGAGCAGGGAGCCCGATGCAGGACTCGATCCTGGGACTCCAGGATCATGACCTGAGCCGAAGGCAGTCACTCAAACAACTGAGCCACCCAGGCGCCCCATACTTCAGCCGTTTTCTTTTGCCAATGAGGCTGATTTGGCTCTGGGGCAAGAGCCTTATGGGTAGATGTTTATCTAGCCCTAACACTGCACCCAAATGATTTATTGTTTCTCCACAGAGCCCTGCAAACATCATTTCCAGTGTCTGGCCAAAGGTATAGGGAGAGACAAGTTTGATGTTTAACGGGTTGACACTTAACCGACTGAGCCACCCAGATGCCCTTTTACTTCATTCTTTTCAAGGACCACATTATATTCTATGGGGTGGTGGCTGAAGAATACGCCCCCACACACCCAGTATCCAATTCCTGTGCCAGAACTTATATATACGCTACCTTTTATGACAAAAGGGACTTTGCAGAGGTGATTAAGAATTTTGAGGAGGGGAGATGATCCTGGATTGTGCCAGCAGGGCCCAATGTAGTCACACGTGTCCTCATGAGACACCTGCAGAGGGAGATGGGCCACGTGACAACTGAAGAAAGGTGGAGGAGGGGGCCACGAGCCAAGGCATGCCGGCAGCCTCTAGAACCTGGTAAAGGCAGGGAAGCCGACTCTCCCCCAGAGCCTCCAGAGGCAGCACCACCCTGTGGACCCCTCGATTTTGACCCAGTGATACTGATTTCAGACTTCTGCCTTCCAGAACTATGAGAGCATAAATGTGTGTTGTTCAAGCCTCCTGTTTGTGCTTCTTTGTTACAGCCACCATAGGGAACAGATTCTTGTGGTATGGATGCCCCATGATTTAATTCGCCGCCCGTTCCTGGTGGGCGGTGCACTGTTTTCTGTCTTTACTACACTGGGTGCCACCGGCAGTGGCTCTCAACTGGAGAGATTGTCTCCCAGGGGACATTGGGCAATGTTTAGAGACAGTTTTATGTGTTACAGCTGAAGGGCTGTGCTACTGGCATCTAGTGGTGGAGGCCCAGGGTTGAACATCCTATAATGTGTAGACAGCTCCTACAACACAGAATGACCTGGCCTCAAATGTCAAGAGTGCTGAAGTTGAGAAACTCTGGTCTATCCATTAGATCTGTTCCTAGAAATACAATTTTCTTTCTTCTTTCCTCCCTTCCCTTTTTCTCTTTCTTTTCTTTCTTTTTCTTTCTTTCTTTCTTTCTCTTTCTTTCTTCTTTCTTTCTTTTTTTCTTTCTTTTTCTTTTTCTTTCTTTCTTCTTTCTTTCTTTTGCTTTCCTCTTCCTTCCTTCCTTCCTTCCTTCCTTCCTTCCTCCCTCCCTCTCTCCCTTTTCTCTTTCCTTCCTTCCTCTTTTTTATTTGCGGGGTGGGGGAGGGACAGAAGGAGAGGGAGAGACAGAATCCTCAAGCAGACTCCCCACTGAGCCTGGAGCCCAATGCGGGGCTCAATCCCAGGACCCTGAGATCATGACCTGAGCTGAAATCAAGAGGTGGATGTTTAACGGGATGAGCTGCCCGGTCGCCCTGAGAAACATAATTTCAAATACAATCTCTAAATACAATTGCTGAGCCTGAGGGTGTGTGTTGTTGACATTGCCGTATTGTCTGGAGCTACTATCGACTTAAGGTATGTGCTCAGTCCCTATGTGGCAACATGCGGCCTCTGGGATGTCGGTGCAGATGGTGTGGGTCCCCACAGGCCCCGGGAGTTCCTCAAGCCTGGTTGGCAGGTTTGTGAATTGGTGGGGTCAACAGCTATGAGGCAGGTGCTCTAGGGTTCGTTCATTTAACAGCCGGGACTTGAGCAGCTCTTATGTCCAGGATGAAGCTGATATATCTCTATCCTTACAGACCTCCCAGCCTGATAGGGAGACTGACCTGAAAACAAACCATGTGATACATACAGAGTGGGCAGCGAGGAATCACACTGGGGAAGTCAAAGAGGGCATCATGGAGGAGACAACTTGTAGCTCCTGTGATGGTTAGTTTTATGTGTCAACTTACCTGGGCCAAGGGATGGCCAGACAGCTCTCAAGACATTATTTCTGGGTGCATCTGTGAGGGTGTCTCCAGAAGAGATTAGCATTTGATTTGGTAGGCTGAGTAAAGAGGATCGCCCTCCCCACTGTGGGTGGGCATCGCCCAACCTGTTGAGCGCTCTAAAAGAGCAAAAGGGCAGAGGAAGAAGGGATTTCCTCTCCCTTCTTGAGCCGAGACAACAATCTTCTCTTCATGCTGGTTTTCCAGCGCAGGGCAAAGAGGAAGACAGCAAGAAGAGGCACAGAGTTTGGGGAAGATAGCCGAAAACAGGGACTTTTCAAGTGTTTATGACAGGGCCTGGCCCTGTGCCAGGAAGGAGGGTTGGCAGCGGCGGCAGAGCCTGATTTGGAACTTGGCTCTGGTTCTGGGGCAGAAGGGGCTGGCTGTCCAAGTCACATGCTCCCAGGTCTTCAGGACCCCCCGAGGGCCTGGGGTCTCACACTGTTATTTTAAAAAAAAGAAACATACTTTTATTTGAGGATAGCTCAAAGAAATCATTTACAGAATGCCTTTTGTTTTCAAAGCACAGCTTTTCATGAAAAGCAATGTCCACCTTTAATACATGCTCTAGTACATAGCTGTGTGTTGGGGGCTGCCAAGGACACTGGGAGCCCCGAGGCCCCAGGTGCCCTGGTGCTCAGTACTCCTCATCATCTTTGGAGTCATCCTGGACCTGGTGGCGCACCTTTGAGGGCCGCGGGGTGGCTGGGGGGCCTGCAGGGGCCTGGGTCAGGTTAACCCAGCCAGGCCCACGAGGCAGCAGGTGGCTCTCATTGAGTCTGCAGACGCGGTAGTTCTCGTAGTGGACGTTGTGGGTGATGTCCTTCAGGTCTTGGAGGTGGGAGCTGGGAGATGGGCAGAGGTTCAGCCTGGGCCCCACCACAGCATCCCCCTGGGGTCCCTGCAGCCCCCTGGGCTCCCTGCATCCTCACCGGATGAGCAGGTCTCTCAGGAGGGGAAACTCACAGTGCGCCAAGTTCTCCACTGTAAGTAAGACAGGACATGGAGTGCTGGCCCTGCCCTGCTGTAAGTGTCCGCTGTATGCCCCCAATATCCACCACAACCTTTCCCCCACATTTCGCACTGTCTTATCCCACTTCTCACTCATTCATTCCTTCCTTCACTCATTCATTCATTGCTTTGTCCCCGGCATCTGGTACAGGCAGCTCCTACATATAGTTGAATCAGTGAATCCACTAATCATTTATTATTGTACACTTAATAATGACTACATTATTACATTACATTATATACCATATATACCACGTAAATTATAGTAATTATATTGATAAATTGGAGGCTCAGGCCCTGGCTGGTCTGCCTTCACTTCCTAGTCTCCCCCACAAGGAGGCCTCCCTCTGCTTCCTTGGGTAGCCCTGTCTCCCACCCCACTTTCTCCCAGCTGTCATTGTCTCATCAGCTCTATGGGTGCAAGAACCTTGCCAGTCCTGTTTTCATCGTACCCCCTCAGGAACCACATATAGTCTGCCTGGCACAGAGTAGGCCCACAGTAAATTCTGGTGAATGCCTAGGGTGTCTTCTGGGTGCTGGGCATTGTGCAAAGCAGTGGTCTGCCCTATCCAACCACCTTCCATGTGCAGATGTGCAGTTCATCTACTGCACAAAAGCAACTGGCTATGATGTTGATGTTGTCCTCATGCCCATTTTACTGTGAGGAAACTGAGGCACAAAGAGTTGGGGAACTTGTCCGAGGCCTCCCAGCTGCAAACAGGGACTTGATCCCAGGTCTGTCTGTTTCCTGACTCCTGGCCCCGTGATGGGTGCTGAGGGTGCCAAAGGCAGGTGGATGTGCCTGGCTTTTCACCCCCGCTTCACTTGCTCCTGCAAAGTCCCTGCACTCACCTTCAATGATGCCCCACTTGGTCTTCCGGCCCAGGACACACCTCCCATTCACCAGGTGCTCTTGGTCAGCCCCGACTACAGCAAAGGGGATCCGGTCCTGCAGGAGGAGATGAAACAGAAGGGTTGGCCCTGTCTGGGAGGTGGGGAGAGAAGTCACTGAGGTGCGGTGGGAGAGGCACACTGTCCTCTGTAGAGAGAGAAAGTGGTAGGAAGAGCACAGAGATCTAAAGACATGGGGCAACTGGCTGGCTCAGTGGAGTGTGTGACTCTTGATCTTGGGGTTGTGAGTTCGAGCCCCACGTTGGGTGTACAGATTACTTAAAAATAAAATCTTAAAAAAAAAGTCACAGGATACACAGTCTCATCAATGGCTCAGTTTAGTCATCTGTAAAGTGGGAGTCAGAATGGCACACACACAGGGCTTTGTGAATGTTTGGGAAGGTTACCCAGGGTCACATTAATAACATACTCTTGCCGATGGGCCTTCTCTTACCTGGGAAACAGGAACTGTGACCACCTTCATCGGTTATCATGAGGGTTAAAAGACACAGCTTCATAACCCAGGGCTTGGCAACCTACGGTGGGTGCACCGGATTGGGCCCGCACCCGTTTTCCCACATGGACTGTCTGTTGGCACACAGCCTGTGCCTTCATCTCAGACTCTGGTCAAGGCTGCTTCCGTGCTGCAACAGCAGACAGCGGTGACCGTGCAGGGACCATGTGGCCCGCAGAGTCTAACACCTTTACCATCATCTGGCCCTTTGCAAAAAAAAAAAAAGAAAAAAGAAAAAGAAAAAAAGTTTGCCAAGCCCTGTTGAAAATTCTAGTTGTTCGCTTGCTCATGGCCAGAAGTGGAGACTCGAATCCCTAAATGGCAAAAGTGCTGTCCAGCGGTGGGGGGGAGGGGGTTGTTTTTCATTTCTCCAAGAGTTACTCTGTGATGAGGAAACAACACGCAAGTTGTCTGTTGCACGCTTGTTACGCGCCAGCCCTCAGTGAACCCCCATGTCTGGATGATTTACTGAGATGTCGTTTGTTCTCCTTGTACCCAGTTCTGTTCGCAGGCTTTGGGACAGAAAGCAGAAGGCAGTGGAGGTCGAGGCTCTCCGAGTGTTTCACGAGAAATCCTGTCTGTTGCCCCAGCAGGGAGAGGAAAGAGGGAACGTGTGGAGACATTGGGTACCAGCCGGGAAGCAGGGCCTCCATGTCCAGCTGTGTGGTTTGTTCACTGCACAAAGACAACTGGACTTGAGGCTGGGTAGGGCCGCCGCCGTGCAGGCTAGCAGGGTCCCCTGGGGAGGAAGTCAAGGCCTGGGGTTGGTGGATGATGAATCCCAGGCCTCACAGTGTCCTTCACAGGATCCAGACAGACAGACATTGGATGCACCATGAGGACAGCAAGGTGGGGGCTTGGAGTTGGAATTCATTTGATTTGGGGAAAAAGAAGATGCTAACTATTTTTCCTCTCTCTCCTTTTTTGAAACAGCTTAACTGGGATAGAATTCATGTGCCATAAAATTCACCCTCTTAAAGGTACCGTTCAGTGGCTTTAAAGGTACAGTTCACAAGACTGTGCCCCCATCCCCACCATCTAATTCCAGAGCATTTCACTGCCCCGAAATGAAACCCCACTCCTGTTAGCAGTCACTCCGCATTCCCCCTGACCCCAAGCCCCTGGCAACAACCACTAACCTACTTTCTGTCTCCATGGGATTTTCCTGGTGGGGACATTTCAGAACGGAATCATGTAATATTTAACCTTTTGTTGTCTAGCTCCTTTCACTTAGCGTCATGTTCTCCAGGCCCATCCATGTGGTGGCAGGTTTTCTTTCCTTCTTAAGGCTAAAGAATATTCCATTGTGTGGACACACTATGTGTGTTTATCCCTTCATAAGTTAATATAAGACATATGCATTATTTCCCCTCTTTGACTATGGCAAATGTTTCCGCCAGGAACATCCGTGTACACACTTTTATGTGAACGTAGGTGTTCATTTTCTCTTGGTAGTGGATTGCTGCTGGGTACTCCGCTAACTTAGTGTTAACCTTTGGAGGGACTGCCAGGTTGTTTTCCGTTTGACCTTCCCGCCAGCAGTGTGCGCAAGTTCAACTTCGCCACATCCTCACCAGCACCCGGGATTGCCTGTCATTTTGATCGCAGCCATCCTAGGGGGTGTGAAGTGGCATCCCGTGGTTTCGATGTGCGTTTCCCTTATGACGGGTGATATCGAACCGACATCTTTTTGTGTGCGTATTGGCCATCTGTTCAAATTCTCTGGGGAAATGTCCCTTCAAAACCTTTGGCCGGGGGTGCCTGGGTGGCTCATTCAGTTGAGCGTCCGACTCTTGAGCTCAGCTCAGGTCTTGATCTCAGGGTCGTGAGTTCAAGCCCCGCATTGGGCTCCACACTGAGTGTGGAGCCAACATAAACAAACAAATAAACCTTTGCCCATTTCTAAATTGGTTATTTATCTTTTATTGTTGATTTGTAAAAGTTCTTTATATGTTTAGGATACAAGTCCCTATCAGAGATATCATTTGCAAGCATTTTCTCCCATTCTGTGAGTTGTTGATATGACCCATTTCTTGCTCACTTTTTGAGTATGTGGATGTTTGGAGATTCATACCTGCTAGGAGTATGTGAACTTCCCCCCTGCCCCAAGCTGTAGAGAGAGATGAATCTTCAGATGGGAAGGATGAGTGGAAAGAAAACCACCCAGCCTTGGTCACAGCAGCCTGCCCACCCCGTCATGGCCTCCTACCCGGATCTTGCTGTTGAGGATCCTGTCGTTGATGTCCTCATCAAAGCATTTCTGTGGGTACACGTCGATGCAGTGAGTCCTCAGATTGTGCTGGATCTGGGGACACAGGTGACCACATCTCATCCTGTGCACTCTGCCTCCTCCTTGCCCCCACCGACCCCATCACCCTGGGTGCCCAGATCACCCTGCGCCTGAAGGCCTCTCGCTCCTCAATGGTCAGGCTGTCGGCCCGGGCAATCACAAGCACCACGTTCACGGTCCGGCATAGCCGCTGTAGGAACTCAATGTCCAGGGGCCGCAGGCTGCGGCAATGATGGTGGTGATGGCAGTGGTGAGTATATGAGTGAGGGGGTGCCAGCCCACAGCCCACGCCAGGGGTCTCCTCCTCCTCCTCCTCCTGCTCCCTGCCCCGGGCAGGGGGTCCTACCCCAGCAGGCCCAGCCACCTCACCAGTGTCCGGTGGGCGGCACGAAGTATACACAGCAGTGCACCCGGGTGTCGGGGATGTGGCGCTGGCGGGTGATGAGGATCTCCTCCTGCAGGTACCGCTCATACTGTTCATTGATGTAGCCTAGGATGGGGTCCCAGCTGGGGCAGCAGATAGACCCGACCTCAGAGCCCCAGCCCTGGGAGCCCCCCCATCCCCCTGCTAGGAAGACCAACCGCCCTGGTTGGCCCAGGACACGGGACTTTCAGTCCTGCACAACCCAAGGCCCTTGGTTACCCAGCATCTTCCTCCTACTCCCCTGAATCATCTGAGAGGCCCCCTGCCATTCTCAAGCTGGGGCCTCAGCTTCCCTGTTCCTAAAATGGGGACGAGAAGGGGTGTGGTTTTGAAAGAGATGAATTGTCACAGCCTGGTTCAAACCACCGTGGACGCTCGCCCCATTGCCACAAGGATCTCCTGAGTCCTCTCCCTTCGTCCCTTCTGCCCCTGCCGGGTTATGGTCAACACGGCACCCCAAAAGATCCTTTTACAAACAGGAGTCAGGGTACATCCCTCTTCGGCTCAGCCTGCGGTGGCTGACAGAAAGCCAGAGTCCTTACGTTGCACTCCCCACACCGTCCCACTGCTGCTTCCTGTCTGTCCTCTCCTCCTCCTTTAACCACCCTTCACACACCGCCAGCCACACCAGCCTTCCACCAACAAACCCACCTCGGGGCCTGCACCCGAGCCTCTCTGCATTGCACACTCTCCCCCGCGTGAGCACACGGCTCCTTCTCTCATCTCCTGGCAATCTGCCCAAGTGTTCTCCTTATCCGGGAGGCCTTGCTTGACCACTCTGCTTAAAATCGCACCCCCCCGACAGCTCCCGACCCCTTTCATGCTCAGAAATGTCCTGCTTGGATGACAGAGTTGAGGTTCACCCTCTGTATAACTGATTTATTGTGCTCCTTGTCCCCCCCCACCCTGCCCCATGACAATGTAAATTTCATATAGACGAAGATGTTCATCTGTTTTGTTCACTGCCCTATCCCTGAGACTAGAACAGACCTTGCACACAGGACGTGCTCTATGAAGCACCGTGTGCAGGGCTGGCTCCCCGGGAGTGCAGACGGAGCAGTCCCGCAGCCTCCGCGCTTCGGAGGGCCTGCACTTGGTTGAATGTTCTGTGGTGGTGGTTTTACAATTCTTCATACTTTTTTGAACAAGGGGACCCACATTTTCATCTCATTGGGTCCCACAAATTATGCAGCTAGTCCTGATTTTGTGTGTGTGTGTTACCAACCACTGTCACAGGGTTGGGCTCTCATCGAGAGCCTAGAATCACTCTGCAAGGTGGGTGTCCTCATTCCCAAGTGACAGAGAAGGAAACTGAGGCTTGGAGAGCTTCCATGAGCAGTTCCCAGGTTACATGGCTGGAAAGTGGTCTAACCCAGTGGTCCTGACTCTGGAGTGTGGGCTTCTAACCCTGCAATACCATAACCTTTATTGATCAACTACATAACTGTGCCAGCCAGCAAGCTCTGACTTTTCCATACTTAACTCCCTTCAATCTTGGAGGGATGGTTGCACAAACCCATTATACAGACGAACAAACTGAGACTCAACAATGCCACAGCTGGGTTAGGTTGCTTTAGGGCTGGGCTGTTTCCCCGAGGCCAGAGGGGCAGGGGGAGGGACCACCAGGGCTTGGCCCCCACTCCTGAGGACCCACCACTTGTCGTTGTTGATCTGGTCTCCAAAGCCGGGTGTATCGGTCACTGTCAGCTTGAGCTTCACGCCCTTCTCCTCGATGACTGTTGGGGAAGAGCAGAGTCGGTATTCATGGGCCGGGGTGGGGTGGGGTGGGGTGGGCGGGGGGAACCCACCGTCAGGCCTGGACCTGGCCACCCCGGGGAACACGGGTCCTGCCGCGCATCTTGCTGATGAAATAGCTCTTGCGTGAACGCAGTGCGGTGCCCGCTCCTCTGCACCAGAGGCTCCTGAC